ATGTATGAGACTCTAAGAACAGTCTTATATGAGTATGAGGGTCTCATACAAGTCTCAAGGTCACAACAGGTACTGAGTAGTCAACTCAGGATTTAAAGCAGATTTTGTTGTCATAGGAACGGCAAAAAATAATAATAATAATAATAATAATAATAATGTGTCCGTGATGTCATGTACACTCAGAATTTTTATTTTAAAACAAAGAATCAAACTAACATTAATAATGGAAAATCCCCCTGGAAATATTCACAGTCTTCTCAGTGAGGAATAGGAAAACAACTTCCCTGCCTTACTGCCACCCTGTTTGAAGAGCCAGAAGTTGACGTGAAGTTGGAAGGTCACCTTTCCAGCTAAACACCACTCCATAGCTAGGTGCGTTTTTATTCAAAAGCTCCATGAGCAGAGGCAACAGTGAGAACTGAGAACCAAAATACTGTCATTGGCAAGGGTTTGGCTAAAGGTTCTGAGATGTGTAAGCACCAAAAAGGGAAAGGGAGATTGAGCAACATATGAAAAAGAGGCTGTGGGAACAAACACAGAGAAAATAAGTCAACAATAACGTACTTGCACCCAGAGCAAAGTGACAGTGCACATACATTCATCCTCTCAAGTGTGGCTACACTGCACATTGACTCATGCTATCTCAAACGTGGTTTATTGGAAAGATTCAAGTCCCCTAAGGGCACTTGGCATTGGACCACAGTGACATGGTAACAGACATACGCAAGCGTGCCGTGACCCTAAAGCCACAACACACTGTAGATAATAATCGCTCAGAAAAAAATCCTCTCCCAGAGCTAAAGTTACAAATTCCAAGTTTGCTGTAAACATTCTTTGGGGAATTCCTTTAAAGGTATGAGTTAAAATAAAACAGAAAATCAACACCTAAAATCTCCTAAAGAACACAGTAGAGAAATAATGAATCTCTGCCAAGAACCAATTATTTTAGGTTTCTCATTTGGATGGCTCCCACAAGATAGGTGGCAGACTACTTCAAAAGTCATGAGACTACTACAAGAAGAAGGAGTTACTTCGTCCAGTGAGGGGAACAGGCTTTCTAGAAATCACTTTCCCTTCCCTCAACTCCGTCCAAAGTTAGAACCCATCAACTGCCATTAACTACAATGCCCATATTAGTTAATAATCCTAGACTTCAAGTACTACTACATGTAAACTATTACCTTAAATTTCCAAAGGAAATCAGTGGCTTTATTAAATAGGCATACAACTTTTCTGAGAAATTAAAGAGTTTCCATCTGAAAGACAGAAACTGGTAGCGGTAACATGCAGACCTCAGGCACCACATCATTTACCCTCCAATAATGAACCACATTTCTCCCTAAATTCTACTTATTGCACCTGAACCTCTCCAGCATCAAATCTTTTACTCTATAACCTCTCTTTAAACACCTCCCTCTAATCTTAATTTCCTTCTGTTTTTATTATCTGGCAAAATTACACTTAAAAAATAAATATTTATGTAATTAAACCAGAGGATGAAATAAATAAGACTCAAGTTAATTTGCCGTGTAGAGCTGTATCGAAGTGAGGAAAGTGCTCTTACATAAACCCCCTCTGCCTTCCACACTCATATGTGCATCTGCTTCCTGGTTAGTCTGAGGTTGGGGGAACTGCACCTTACTTTTCTTCTCCTGTATCCCCTAATGCGGCAATATTAGAACCCAAGGGAGGAAAAGCTGGCAAAGTTGTCATATGCCAAGTGGCCAATCCCTCCTGAAATGAAGGTAGGTTCACTCGGTCTCTCCTAAGCAGAAGAGAATGTCCAGAAAATAAAATCTTTAAAAAGCCATTGGAAGTCCAACAAACAGCCTTGGGGTGCTCATGGAGTGCGTGGGACGAGAAAGGAACCAAGTGGCAGCATTCAGAAGCAATCCTGGGTTCATCCTGATGAGGTCTCTCCCTTGTTCAGGGAGAGATGGCTTTCCCATGCTGGGAGGGAGGTGGAAGGGGGCATGACTTAGACATTGCTGGTGGTCTCCTTAGGAGGCTGGATGCTGTTCATCTCCATGACGGCGTCCTTCCCAGATCTATTTGCACCTTGCGCCTGCCCTTCAAAGGCCCGTGTGATATCCTCAAAAGTCCTGCCACGGGTCTCAGGGACTTTGAAGAAGGTAAAGATCAAGAAGGTAATGAGGAAGCCAGTGAAGATAATAAAAACGTAGGCTCCTAAATAGTGCTAGTGAGAGGACAGAAGAAAGGAAGGTTTTTATAACAATCTGGTCATTGACAAACTCCATTTCCTTCACATTCATATTTCTAATATGCTTCAAGCTATAACCTTTCCATATTTAATAAAAACAGAGGCTGGGCACAGTGGCTCACGCCTGTAGTGAGCTGCACCCGGCCTTGAGTATTATTTTTAAAATCTGTGTTTCTGAGCTGGGTGTAGTGGCTCATGCCTGTAATCGCGGCACTTTTAGAGGCCGAGGCGGGTGGATCACTTGAGGCCAGGAGTTTGAGACCAGCCTGGCCAACATGACAAAACCCTGTCTCTACTAAAAAGACAAAAA